TGGGCGGGCAAACAAGCAGGAAAGAATGAGCAGGAGTTGAATCTTGCAGCGCACAGAGAACAGCTAAAAACAGAACATGCAGACAGAAAAACAGGGAACAGAGGCAGCAACGGCACGGCAAGGCGGGTCTATTTCAAGGTGGCAGGGAAGGGAAGCGGAGAGGAGCGAAGAGGCTGGGGCCAAAAAAAACCCCAAAACAGGACAAGTCAGGTAAAATCAAAGGAAGCCGGGCGTGGGGGTGGGTGGCTCCAACCGTCTCTGGCCTCGGCGGATTGTTACGGCCCCTACCTCAGCCCTAAACCCGAGACTCCTCCACACAAGGGCCAGTAGGAGCATGTAGGGGCTGGCTAAATTCCTCAGCCCCCAGGCAAGATCTTCGGCATCTTTGCAGACGACAGCTTGCCAGTGATCTCCGCAGCTTGTTTTCAACAGCAGGATGGTGAGTTTCAGAGCTTTGGGTTAAGGTTTAGGGTTCAGGGTTTAGGTTGAGGATTTAGGGTTTAAGGTTCAGGGCTGAGGGTTTAGGACCCAGGGTTTAGGGATCGCCTGTCCCGCATGCGAGGGCGTAATACTTAATCCTAAACCCCTGCGTGCACCCTTCAACCGTCACCCTACATTATATCCGAAGCCTAAACCCTAAGCCCAAAACAAAAAACCGTAACCCCTACCTCTACACCAGCAAAAAACATGCAGGTTTTATCCCTAAGCTCTTACACCTGAACTTTGAACCCTACTCCTTTAAATCTTATGGAATCTGACATCAAATAAGCGAGGATGATTCAATATGCATTTTTAACACCAGAGTTTCGTTAGGAAGCCCTGAACCCCTGGTTTCATCGAGGGGCTCAGGTTGATTTCGACAGCAATCAGAAGCCGAGGCACTCTTGTCGTCTTTTTTTAAACGCGGGTGTATCGGGCGTTGGGTGTGCTGATGCCCTTTTGATTTTGTTAGTTGCTGGTCCGACTTTTCGACGAGCTACTTGAGAACCGAGCCAGACTTCGAGGATCAGGGACATAGTAGGAAGGTTATATGTCGGGCCATGTAGGGTTATGCGTGCCTTCATCTTGGCACGTGAAATCCCAACTAGAAAACGCCACGCAGTGTTTACTAAGTCAGCTAACTCTCCAAGTGCCGAAGGCCTCTGTGATAGTATCACCTCCCCATGACCAAGAATTGCTGATGATGTCCATGACTGGCATGTGGCTGAGGGTGCTGATGGTGTTGGAACGGTTGTTTGATTGTGTCCGATCAACACGGGCAAGAGAACGACCATTGTCACCATCTTTTCCATAACTACCACCGCAGCCACCATTATGCCCCTGTCCTAGCGTGCATCTTCGTAGCAATAGGCCCGGGGTTGTCGCAAACAGTTGTGCTGTCTTTTCGCCCTTTGAAGTGCAGCCCTAAACCCTAAACCCTAAACCCTAAACCTTAAACCCTAAACCCTAAACCCTAAACCCTAAACCCTAAACCCTAAACCCTAAACCTTGCAGCTCAGGCGGGCCTGGCCATTACCGTTCGGGACACGACCTGTTGGGCTGAGGACGCAGAGGGTGTGGCTCCACGGTAACGCGAGACCCTAAATTTAGGGTTTAGGGTTTAGGGTTTAGGGTTTAGGGTTACATCCCAGACCCTAACCGGCCCTATCCCCGAGACCCTAGCCCTAAGCCCGAATGAGCTAAACCTCTGAACCCTAGCAAAACATTAGACCCCACAAACCCTGAACCCTAAGCCCTAAACCCTACATCCTAACCCCTAAACCCTACATCCTAACCCCTAAACCCCACATCCTAAGCCCTACACCAAAAAAAAGAACCCTAAGCCCTAAACCCTACATCCCAACCCATAAAGCCCGAAAAACATTGAACCCGAAACCCTGAACCCTAAACCCTACATCCTAACCCCTCAGCAATTCTCGACCGCAAGTCAAGCCCCCATCCCACATCCTGAACCTCACAAAGGGTTTAAGGTTTAGGGTTTCGGGTTTAGGGTTGGGGTTTAGGGTTTAGGATTTATAAGGGTTTAGGGTTTAGGGTTTAGGGTTCAGAATCCTGAAAAGTCGAAAGGCTCAAACGCTGCAAGGACACCGTCAAAGGCCTCTCCGGACCCCTGGTGCCTTCCACTGGTCCTGCTCCAGCGGACGAGGCGAGATGCCAGGTAGACGGGTTAGGGTTTAGGGTTTAGGGTCCAGGGTTTAGGGTTTAGGGTTCAGGGTCTGGGATGTAGGGTTTAGGGTTCAGGGTTTTGGGTTTAGGATTTAGGGTTTAGGGTTCAGGGTTCAGGGTTTAGGCTTTAGGGTTCAGGGTTCAGGGAGCCCTGAAACGCAGCACTTTTGGGGTTCGGTTGTCGCAGTTACACCTACCTTATCGTTCGTCAGGCATCTGCATCCCAGTCGTTCCGACGAGGACTTTGGACCAATCCTTATAGCACCCTTACAAACCCTATAAAGCCTTTCAGAACCCTGTTTAGCCTTTATAGAACTCTGCGCAACCCTACAAAGAACTCTACGAAACTAGTGCCCAACATGGAAGGAAGGACCTGGGGTTTCTGTGAAGGCGCTGGCTGTACTGAGCGTGGGGTTCACTTTTGGGTTTCGGGTTGATTAGGCTTTAGGAAACCCTAAACCCTAAGCCCTAAACCCTAAACCCTAAACCCTAAGGTTTTTGTAGGCTGTTGGATGAACCCGTAAGGGTTTCATCGGTTTTGAATTCAGGGGTTAGGGTCAGTTTAGGGCTTGGGGTTTGCAAATGTCTTATCAGCCCTTAGATCCCCCAAAAACCTTGCTGCATCCCTGTCACCCCAAAACCTAACTCTAAACCCTTCGCCCTCGTCTTTTTCGTCACTTCTCGAAAAGAGATTTAACTGCAAGAAGCTTCGGTTCGTTTATCCCAGAACTCTCTGGCTCAGGGTTTAGGGTTCGGGAGGGTTTAGGGGTTAAGGGTTTAGGAGTTCGGGGTTTGGGGTTTGAAGCCTAAACCCTAAACCCTGAGCCCTAAACCCTAAACCCTAAACCCTAAACCCTAAACCCTAAACCCTAAACCCTAAACCGAAACCCTAAAAGGGTTTAGGGCTGTAGGAGTCTGCAAGGCCGCCTGTCGGAAGCTTTGCCGCGTTCGCTCCAGCTGCGCCTACTACACGTGGAAGCAGGCACAAAGGGCCCCACTTCCTGTTTAGGGTTTTAGGGGTTTAGGGTTTAGGGTTTAGGGGTTTAGGGTTTAGGGTTTCGGGTTTTTGGGTTTTTGGGGTTTAGGGTTTAGGGTTTCGGGTTTTTGGGTTTTGGGGTTTAGGGGTTTGGGGGTTTAGGGGTTTTAGGGGTTTAGGGTTTAGGGTATAAGGGCCCCGCTTCCTCAGCTCCTGGGTCTAAGGTAGGCCTTAAACAATTACTAATACTATTTTGGGGGGTTCCTTATTATGATCATGGTATAATATATCCCAAAACCCTATTCTTATTA